TATCAGCTGCCTTCAGAGTCAGACATCAGTGAGGCAGAAGAACAGCTGGAGCCTGTTCCCAATGTGCGCATGCGCAGAGTTGCCAGACGAAGGGGAGAGCTAAAGAACAGGGGTCGACTTGGGAGTAAGACCACAGGTGGGCGGTGAATGGCCCCTCCCAGAGGAGATAAAAGAGGAGCGAAAGGGGAGTGGAGTTTGCAGGAGTTCACTTCATTGGTTCGTGACTCTCCGAGACTCCTGACCAAGATTTTACAGTAGACTTCCCCTGCCACGCCCACAGAACCAGTAGTAAATAAATTTGAATTTCACCACTGGTTGTAAGTCGAGGACTACCTAAGGGTGACTTTATTCTTCATTGCACGTTTCTCTTAGCTGTTCCAATGCAGTCGTTTTTAGCTCTTTCCGTAGGCGAGCTGTTCCCAAAACTCGATCGCGTTAGCCATCCAGTGGGTCTGGGTTTGAAAGCCTTCCAGAATCTTCCACAGTCCTGCGGCTTCCTTTTTCTTCCCTCCGCAAGGGCTCGTATTCAAGGCTTGCCAGCTCATGTCCAGTCAACGCTCGCACTCAAATTATCTTTTTATCGACTGTAATTAAGAATTGATCCCACCCACCTCTTTGGGGCAGCATTTAGGCTGCCCAGAAAACAGTGGGCGATTTGGATTTTTCCCAGGCTGGGAAGAGCAAAGATGTGGTGGTGGGAGCAACTTTTTGGGACTGGGATGCAGGTTGAGGATGGAAGGTGTGTGTGTGTCCTGACAAAAGGAATGAACAGGAAAATATTCACCATATTCGAACCGTGCAAGTTCTGGTGTGGTGGAGCTTCAATGTTTCAATCCGGGGCACGATCGGCAAACGTAATTTTCCCTTTATCTTTGCCCAAAGTCACCCAGGTCTTCCGTGCCTAAGGCAGGACTAGAACTCACAGTCTCCTGTGATTGGCCTAAAGTCACCAGTATTTCATGCCTAAGGCAGGACTAGAACTCTCAGTCTCCTGGTGATTGACCCAAAGTCACCCAGCTGGCTCTCATGCCTAAGGCAGGACTGAACTCCCAGTCTCCTGGTGATTGGCCCAAAGACACCAATATTTCATGCCCAAGGCAGGACTAGAACTCCCTATGTCCTGATGATTGGCTCAAAGTCACCTAGCTGGCTTTATGTCTAAGGCAGGACTAGAACTCCCAGTCTCCTGGTGATTGGCCCAAAGTCACCAGTATTTCATGTCTAAGACAGGACTAGAACTTCCAGTCTCCTGGTGATTGGCCCAAAGTCAACCAGCTGGCTTTCATGTCTATAGGAGGACTGGAACTCCCAGGCTCCTGATGATTGGCTGAAAGTCACCCAGACTTTCATGCCTAAGGCAGAACTAGAACTCCCAGTCTCCTGGTGATTGGCTCAAAGTCACCCATTTCAATGACTTAGGTAGGATTTAAACTCACCGTCTCCCGTTTTCGAGCCTTGTGCTTTAACCACCAGACCAAACCACCCATTTTTTTGTGGTTTGTTCTATTTTGGACACGCCGTGGAAGATGCTGCATCTGTCTATCATCTTTACAGCTTTGCCTAATGAGGAAGGCCAGCCAATTGTAATAAATGGAATAAATTTGACCGTGTAAGCCGTGATTAGCACAATACATCAGCCCAGCCTTCATAACAATAAGGAAATCATTTCGTCTGGGCAGGAGCAGTGACAGCTCAAGGATGAAAACAATAACCTCCTTTCTGCAGGATTAAAAACACTCCTTGGTCACCTTCACGTTCAATTATGGAAAATCTCTGCCATAAATAACACGGGCAAACTTTCTCGGCAAGCAATGACAATTGTCCCATTCTCTTTTCCTCTCCTTTCCCTCCCCCACCACCTTGAGACTCAAAGCTTCAGTCCAGGCTTCTGAAATTACTGAATTACCAGCCTGAATGGAGGGATTTACCCATTAATTCCTTCCATCTCTCTTCTCCCATTAGCAGAAAACCTGTTTGTTTTAGTGGCTGTAGAAATAGAATGGAATGGAATTAAAATAGAAAGAGAATAGAATGGAATGGAATGGAATGGAATGGAATAGAATATAGAATATAGAATAGAATAGAATTGGAATGGAATATAGAATATAGAATATAGAATATA